TTTGCTTTTTTTTAATAAATTTGTCAATTATCAAAAAAATGTTATCAAAAATTTTTTTTTTAAATTTATTATATTGACAGCAAAATAAAAAACAAACGGGGTATTTTAGTACATTTATGTAATTTACATAAGCACATATGCGTGCATGGATTCGGCCTATTTGAATCAAATTTAATATTTCAACTGTTACACAAAAAAAAAATCATTGATCTAGGATAATTTTTTAATTATCTTAATTTGCTTGTAAAAAATTAATTTTTCTTTTGTATATTAAGAATAGACCAATATTTGTATGTTACTTACACATACATATATTATATGAACGCATTGAAAAATTTGTCATTTACAATCAGATTTGCATAATAAAATTGGCATCCAATTATACATGCGTTTAAAATATAGCATTTTTTTCCAACTCAATGCAATTTAAGATACAAAAGTTTCTTTCCTTAAAATTCAGAAATTCCATTGAAAATAAATATGTTTTTTTGTTTGCTAATATAACATATTTGAATATACTCTTAACTTTTATAACAGTTTAATAGATTTTCAATTTTAAAACTCAATTGTACATTGTACATATTTGTAATAGCTTGTATAATTATTTGAATTCCATTTTTATTTAATAATAATGCTGCTATTGTGCATAAAACTTGATGTCATTATCCTATACAATATACACACACGCATAATTGAAGAAACTTCATTCAAAAACTTCAATTAAATATTCTTGTAAAATTCACATCAACCTTAAAATCTGGTTTAATTATATACGAGGCGATTAAAAGCACAACAAGAAAAAAAAACAAGAAGAAGAAAAAAAATATAAAAATAAATTCACTAAGGTATTGAATGGCACGCAAAATTTTATATTTTAAAAAATTGTACAAATAATCAACAACCGTACATTAAAAATGACAATATTATTGTAGCGCAATTATTTAAGTTTTAATTTTGTCTTTTTTATTTTTAATGAAAATGAAAAAATGTCAGTGAAACAAAAAAAGAGAAAAAATTTTTTTTTGTATAGAAACATGAAATTTTAAATTTTGATTCTAATAGAAACCAACTATGGGGTCTGAAATTAACACAACATTGTAGCAATTTGAATCAGTTTACCATGCTATTGACCAATTTGTATTAATCATGATCCTATGAATTTTAAAATCGCTTTGATTCTATAAAATCACAATTTATACAAAGTGTAGCAATCGAATGGAATTAAAATTTATAAATTATTCATCCTAATTATTGAAATCTATTGTGAATTGCCTAAATATAAAAGTTATTAAGATCTTAAAAAAGTTCAAATCAAGACAAATTAATAATATAGAGATTAGCAAATAGTTCATTAATTCATAATAAATAATTATTAATTATGAAGGAACCTATAATGTAAGTTAAAATTAATGGGCTGATATTATTTTTATTTATTGTGAATTCTTAATTTTTCCATAAGCAGTTTACATTCAAATTATTGAAATTAGATTATTGTATACATGTAGGGGAAAATTTAAAGAAAATTTGTTATTTTCTTTTGCTTTAATGGAGATCGATACCGAATTAACTTTAAATATTAAAAAATTAAATTTGGTAATTCTGAAATTTGGGCTCAAGAAGAAATATAATTTGCAGTTTTGCAATTACTGCTTGATTGTATGAAGTGCGTTGGATGCAGTTCTTAGTAACCAAACTATTCCGTCAATTGAATTGACGGTTGCGTTAAATCATTAGAATACCAAAAAATGTAATAAATTTGCAATCATTTGCCTAATTTCATGCAATCACACAGTTTCATGTGCGAGCGCTGGAATATAAACATCCATATAGGTTTATACAACTAAGCAATCAAACAATTGCAAAACTAAAAATTGCATATTTTTTTGGGCTTTTAATAACTTTGAAGAAGTAGAATATATTAAAAGGAATTGTTGCAACGAAATGAGCTGTTTTTTAAATGTCTTAAATTCAATTGTCAGAATTTCAGATTTTTAATACCGGTTTTGCCTATGAAAAAACTCATTGATTTCAAAATTTTTATTAAAGCTCCGACAAATTAGTTAGAGTTGTATTGGTTTTTAAAGTTGAAACTTTTTACTTAACATAGTGTAGAAATTTGGAATAATAATTAGTTAGACGTTAAGGACTTTAAGTTCCTATTGTTAAACACCTTTTCCTAAATCCTTTCACTGATTTTTAAAACTTAATTTTACAGTTTTAAAAAACAAATAAATTCGTAATACCCTTTAATTATGAGGTGTAAATTAAATTTAGTATGACTATATATTGGAATAACAACATTGATGCCTGTTCTGATAGTAACTGTTTTACTTAAATTTTACTCTAGTTAATAAAATGGTTAATTAGAAATAGATTACACTTTATGTAACTAAATTTAAAATTTTAATGTGTCTAATATTTAATTGCAATTAATATATATTTTATTAAAACTTATATATCGTATACATATACAGATATATTATTTAGTAACATTGTATGTATAGGGTACGATTACGGTAATTACATTTACGGTCATTTAAAAAAATTAAATGGATAGAATCTCTTAATTAATGGTCTTCATTAAAAGAAAAAAAAAAATAATTCAGAAAGACGAAAAACTAAACTGAAAAACAAAAATTATTTTATGTTTGGTAATAACAACTTTTGTAGCGAAACTTGCGATTGGCAAACCAGCGACAGTTGATTGACATTTTGTCAGTGTATTTGCAACCATATGTAATTACATATACAAATGTAATTTTTTTTTTTTTTTTTTTTTTTTTGAAAGAATTAGACCTGAGGTTTAAAATCAAAAGTTGAAATTAATTTACAAGAATTATACCGTAATTTTTTTTTTACTTTGTTACCTTGAGAAAAATTTCAATTTATTTTAAAACCCAAAGGAAAGTAAGACGTTTTCCTTAAAGGTAATTTACTTTTTTTGGTAAATAAAATTTGAAATGGATCGGTGAGTTTAAATTGCAATAATTTTTATTTAATTTTTACTTTTTTCTCTTATTTATTTTTCTTTTTAAGTTCACTTTTAAAATTCAATTGAAAATCTTTTAACAAGTTATTTAATTTGAGTCCAAATTAAAATGAAAAAAAAATTTAAAAACTTTAAGAACTGAGGTCAAAATTTTGAAATGTTTGTATAAAATTAAAAAGTTTAATTAACCTAGACTTAGACAAACAAAATAATTTATTGAAATTTTGTAATATTTTGCTATTAAATAGAATTTTAAAAATGGTATTCTAATTTAATTGAAATTTAAACTAAATTTAATTAGACAAAAGAATTATTTCAATTGAAATAGCTGTTAGCAATTAGAAATATTCTTGGTATTATAAGAATATTGTTCTTTAATATATAAGTGTGCATAATATAAACTAGCATAATATACTGATTCTATGATATTGAAATGCTTTTAAAATTTTCAAAATATTTTTATAAAATAATCGAAATAATTTTGTTAAATGCTTAGAAAGTTTAAACTTATACACACAAATTAGTTTCGTAAATTATAAAATGTATTCTTATTTTTTATTTTTTTAAATTACTTAAATAAAAAGTAACAAAAATTAAGTTAAATTCAATGACACTTTACTATTTAAACTAGTAAAATTCTAATACTGAGTACAATTGAAAAAAATTGTTAACTAACTTCACTATTTTCACATGAGGGGGGGACCGGTATCACAACAAGCCTAGTTGGCCTATGTATCTCCTTCGGGGGCCGCGACAATCTAACTTAGCTTCACTATTTTGTGAGACGAGACTTTATTTCTCCATAAAAGAAGATTTTTACCCGTCTTCCTACTCTGGAAGCTATGGCCCCTTAAAATCAAAAAAATATGATTTTTTGAGAGTGTGTTGTATTGAAAATACAATTGATAATATTTAATTTGCACAGAAAATTGATAACCTACTGCAAAACTACATGGCAAGTTTTAGAAGTTTAAGATTTTAACAATTTGCAGAAATGACAATAAAATTTATTTAGTTGTAAACAACATTTTTTCTCACCTCCGTTCTCTTTCCAGCTATCGCATCGCAAAATTAGTAAAATATGAATTTTCATCTCTTTTTTTCCCGAAACTGTGACATTTCCGAAATTTTCATCAAAGCATTCAAAAATTTCTAATTTTTTTCTAACCCTAAAAATATGCAATAATTATTTTCGTTTTATAATAATAGATTTTGTTGTGGAATCCAATATTACAATCATATTAATTTTTGCTGAAGTGAATATAAAATAACATTATAGCAGCCTTCAGTTTATACTTCAATTTGTTTTGGAATATGAAAGTTAAAAATATTCCAAGAAAATTTCTAACATTATAGATGTATCCAAAAAATTCTTTATTTAATTCATTGAAATTCCATAATGCCCTGGTTAGTATAATGCACTGCCCTGGTTAGTATAAGGCTACCGCATTAAATTTCCAAACTGCTTCAATCAGAATAACTTCGATATATGTATGTATGTATGTATGTATATTCGTACCAACAAGGGCAGTGATTAAACTTTAAAGTTGGTTTTCAATGGGTCAATTTCATCACACTTATTGCATTAATTGTTCATTTTATAATTTTATTTCCATTCCAAATAACTTATTAATTATTTTGTTATTTCTTCAAACATAACATGCAATTTTAATTTATTAAAATTTAATAAAATTTATGACTTGATGACTTATAATTCCGATTTTATTTGACAGAACATAATAATATTAAATAAAAAATTTTTTTGTTATTCAAATCATGTTAGTAAAGGTTTTAGTTTTTATAACAGGTCTATATAAAATATAAGTTAGTGTTACGTTTTGGCAGCAGTATGTAACAGTTATTTGAATGCAACCGTAAGCATTTTTGTTAGTTGTTTTTCACCACCTTAACTCCAGATCAAAATCATAATTACCTAATATTAATTTTTGCTTTAATTTTTAAAAATAAACTTTTAATTTTTTATTCTCTTCCTTTTTCTTTCAATATTCAGGAACATCCAGAATATGCATTTAGTTATGGTGTAAAAGATTTACATACAGGTGATGTTAAATCACAATGGGAATCACGTGATAATGGTATAATCAAAGGACATTATAGTGTTCGAGAACCAGATGGTTCAATACGTACTGTTGATTATACAGCTGATGCTAAAAATGGTTTTAATGCAATTGTTAAAACACATGGACCCAATTCACATCCAATAACTGATTCACCACATTCTGATTATATTAAAAATGATGATACATCACAATCAAAAATTAATCATTATAGTAAAGATCAAGAACATATAGTATTAAGTTCAGATTTAAGACCAGTTAAAAGACCAATTGATGATATTTCATATACACATCCGAAAACACCAAGTTTAATTGAAATACGACCACATGCACGTATTAAACAAATTCCAATGGAATCGATACGTGATAAAATTTTAAGTCCATATCGTGAAACTGCTGACGAATATTATTATAAAAATATTGAACCAGAAATAAGAGCTATTAAACCACCAGATTTATCAAAACATAAACGTATAAGCCCATTTGATTTCTATGAAAATGAAGATACATCAGAATGGAAAGCTATACCAAGTGATGATATAATAAATTTTTATGATAGCAATAACAGTAATAACAATAATAATAATAATAATAAAAATGTTAACAATAATCATAATATAAATAACAATCATAACAATTACAATAATAAAAATAATAAATATAATATAAATAATAATAATAATAATAACAATAATAATAATAATAAATATAAAAATAAGAAAATTGAAAATATAAATGGTCATTATAATAAAAATTACTATCGTGATTATGAAAAACTTCAACAACCACAATATCAAGAAGATTATTTTCAACATAGAAAATTTAATGGTAAATTACAATCACCATCTTCATCCTCATCATCATCATCATCTTCATCATCATCAGCATCACAAACAGAAAATCACAATAACAATAATTATCCAATAAAATCAACTCCAATAAGTTTATTACGTACTGATTTCATTTCATCAAAACCATATCAGAATAATGTAAATATGAAGAGGCCATCATTTAATATACCACCAGAAATTCCAAAAAAAAATAATAATAACAACAATAATTATGGTTCACATCAGATTTCATCATCAATTGGTGGTGGTGGTGGTAATAAACATTTTCCAAATCCTAAGAAAAATTATAATGGTAAACGACATAAGCCAATTGAATATTCAAGTTATTTTCAAAGACAAGGAAAAAGTAGACAAATAAATATTAGTAATAAAGAGGGACCAGTTGTTTTTCCAAATGAAGATGATATTGAATTAAGGGAAGCAGCATCAGCTCGAATGGTACAATCAATGTTAAGAAAAGATAAAAAACATGTAGTACCTGGTTATGCATCATTAATTGCTGATCGTTATTTTGGTGCTTAGGTAATTTTATTTTATATTATTGATCATTTTTTTTTGTATTTAAAATAATTTGTATAATAAAAAAGAAAATTGTTATATATGTATAATAAAATAAGATTTATTGTTATATATTTTTTTTTTCTTTCTTTAACTTGATATTTTGTGATACCGGTCACATTTTATTTAAAAAAAAATTTTTGAATTGAAAAAAATCAAGACAATGCAACTGTTCAATGCGTTTTTGGCGAAAAATAAAAGAAAGTTAAAAATGTTTGGATTTTTTTTTTTTAAAATACTTTGGTTGTACATTTTGTCTCTTTTGTTATTTTATATTTGAAATCTCATAAAATGTAAAACTATTGTTAATTAGTTTATAATTTGTTAAGTTAATAAAAAAAAACTTACATGCACTAATAATTTATTTTGTAAAAAATTAAAAGCAAAAAAAAAAACAGAAAATATAATAAAAGTTGAAAAAAAAAACAATAAATGAAATCGTTTAAAAAGTTAAGAAGAAAAACTTTAGGAGCCCGAATGAACATGAGAGAAGAGGTAAGTATAAGTTTCACAAAAAGCAAATTGATAGTAAGTAAATTTAATTAACTAAATGAAAATTATTTGAGTTGTTCAACGGTTTATTGTAAGAATGTGCAACGCCTATAGATCGGAAAATTCAGTTGCGCGGACTGTAGCGCGTTGAGTATATTGCTACTTATATGTCTGTTGACAAAAATTCGCAATTGATTATTTTGGAAGCTGTATATGTAATATCTGTAAATGTAGAAATTTTTGGTGAAGGGGTAATACCTCACCCCTACGGGACTATAGACTGAATTAAACTGTATTTCGGGCGCTAGCGCTTCAGTATATTGCTACTTTATGTCTGTTGACAAAAATTCCCCAATTGACAATTGGAGAAGCTGTATATTATGTTATATCTGTGAATGGTTCAGAAATTTTGGTCAAGGATTAATATTTTAAACTAAGAATTTCGTGGTTTCTGAGCCATTTTTACCGATTTTAAGAACAATTACTAAAATTATTTTATTGTCTTTTGAAAAATAATAGGCACTGGGATTGGCCAATCACATTTTGCAGGTACCTGTTTTAAAGCTTATTGAACAATATAGTTTAATTTGATTCAACTAACAGATATCGTTGAGGATCGTAGCTATAATTGAGTGTTAGGTTTTTTATGCTCAATTCGTTAATAGTCAGAATATTTAAGATTTGAAGTTATTTCCGAAGTAGAATTGAACTTTCGATATTCTGTTTGTATAACACATGTCTCTGCGAAATTTTTCGAAAATTAAAAGTTATATAGCTCCGCAAATTATACCATAAAGTATGTAATTAGATGTATAATTAAAGGTTAACTAAGATTTTGCTAATTTTTTTTTATTAAACAACTTTTTTTTTTTTTAAATTGATCATAATTTTAATTGTTATTCATTAATTAAAAAAGGCCAAACCAAATTTTTCTATAAAGTTAAAATTAAATTTGAATTTCGAATATTTTTCTTTTTTCGAATTTTATTTAATTAGAAGTTATTAAACAATTACTATAGTTTCTAAATTTATAAAATCATAACTAGAAATTATTAATATTTAACCTTGATAAATTTTTTTTTTACGGATTGAAATGATCTAACAAGTGCATTCAAATATAAAAGAATAAAAAAAAAATTAATATTTGGCATGATATGTAAATAAACACCCAACTGACCTCAACATAAAGTTTAAAACGATCTTAGATTTTACTTTTTTCATATTTTCTTTTAGAAAAAAAAAATTGTACGCTATTCACATGCACCGTTTTTTATTATGCACGTACCATAATTGCATCGCATATTCATTAGGTGTTAAAGTGACATTCATAGTTGTTTTCATATACACATACATGTATAAATGAAAAATAAAAAAGTGTAAGATAAAATAATTTTTCACAGTGGTTGGTGTTCAAAAATTTGATTTATGTGCATTTTGACAAGGTTATTATTGTATTTTTAGAAAAATTTTCCACTCTTTTTCACATTCAAAAAGAATAAATAATAGAAAAAAAATTAAAACTAAATTTAGAAAATTTTATATTTAATAAGTTGGTTCACGTAAGTTTCATAAATGGTGTTAACGCAATTTGAAGTCCATAGAAATAATTTTTATGAGTTTAAAATAAGTGCATTTTAAATTCTGTGAGAGAGTCTCTGAAAACAAGACATATTACCATCGACTCAGACTTAGAGTGCCGTACAATCCAAATCCAAAAAAAAAACTTTTAAATACAGCCGTCTTGCTTAACTTTTTATGCAGTATTGAACGGTGTAATCAGATTTTCCGTAGCTGAACTAAACTTTAAAACTATAACAAGGTAAATGACAAAAAAAGGTTCAAGTAAAATAACGATTTAAGGAAGTTGTAAAATTTCTTTTTGCCGTACGTCAATAAAAAATATTAAAGAAGTGCAGAAAAAAATATAGAGAATTCACTGAAAGGTGCATAAAAAGCATTTTTTGCTTCATATCGGCCTGTTTTAATGCCCTCATGCACCTCAGTTTTATATAAACTGATTTTTATCAAAATTTCAATTCGAGTTTCATTGTGATTATCAACTATATGCGTACCACAGATACTAGAAATGTGAGTTTCACTAATGTTCAATTTCGTATTTTTGCTGTAAGACTAATTAAATCATGGTTTCTTAATCTTTTATATTTTAATACAAGATTAGTGCATAACAAACTTTTTTGGGAGATTGAATACCACAACCTATGCAGATCAAACTTTGGATAAACCGTAATTGAGACACAGTTTCACACAATTATCTTGGACATTAAACTATTAATTTTCTTGGAATTTTAAGCAATTTTTATATATTAGGCTCGTGGCAAGCCCTTTTATCGGTAAATGGTGAAAAATTTATTACTTATTATTAATGACGTGAGAAGAGGAACACATTACGTTGCTTTTGTATACATGGTAAGTATAAACGTCAATTTGATCAATTAAAATTTCAAATTTAACAAGGAAATTTGGGAATACATTCAAATCGTCCATATATATACAAAATTAATATGCAATGTTGTTGTCTTAAGAGTAAAATAAATATCACAATAACTGATTTAAACTTAAGAGGGCGTGAATGTGTTAAATTTTATGTCTATGTCTATAGATTTTGGTTTCAGTTATCAAAACCAAATGAAACAAAAGCCTGTATAATATCGTTTTAGTTGATTATTCAAACAGTGTTTCAATAAATATTTAATTAGAACAGTTTTCTAAGAGAATATAAGGTTTAAAAAATTACTTTAATAATTTTATATAATTATTTTTGAAAGTAATCGATACAAGTAAGCAAGAAAAAATTTCAGCTCATTTTCTGACGTGTTTTTAAATAAAGTCTTGCTTATAAAATAATTTCTCAGTGTCAACTTCAACAATTATTCGTTTAACTATAAAGTAAAATAATTAAAAAATTCAATAAATCCATAAGAAATTGGCAGATCTGGCAATGATCCCTTAATTATATTCAAAAATAATTTTTTTAAATTGTATAATCTGCAATTTTCTGCAAATAACTTTAAAAATTAAATATTTCTTAATTTTTAATTATTTTAACTATCATAAAATTTATTTTGTGGCGCTGTTAAATAAAATTATAGATAATTTTAATCAATTACATTTTTCTTACTTATATTTTTTTTTAAATTAAAATGGGTTTTCTTCAGCTTAGAATTTTTGATAAAATATTATGGTATATTTAGTGTGGCGGCGCCACCTAGCTATTTTGTGCAGATTATTTTTATTTATTCAATGACTTTAATTGATAAAATTAAATATTTAAAATTTTTGATGATTAAAAAGTAAATTATTTTTTTTTTATTGTTTTTGATACACTTTTAATTTTTAGTATTATATTTTGAAGGTATCATAAATTTTACAAAAGCTTTCAGTAATTTTAATTTTGTTTATAGCAAATATATTGTTGCCTCACCTAAATATTTAAAATTACACTTGTCAAAGGATACCAATTATTATAGTTATTATGCGACGCCAATTGATTAGATTCTCAATTAAAAATTTATTGAAAAAAACGAACCTGCAAGCAAATATAAATTTATTAAAGTCACGTTGTTAATTTTTTAAAACATTTATCAATAAAAACGACAATCCTTTCATCTAATACAAAATTTCAAATATTTTATCACAATTGAAATAATGAAATTTTTATTTTGACAATTATTATAATTGGACTATTTAATTTTGGACGGATAGTTTTAGATAGTGAATGAATTTATATAGAATATAATTTATTCGAATTTTTCATTGATTTGATAAAGTTTTCAAAGAAATTAGAATTATCTTGAAATTTTATTTACAAATTTGTATAGCTATAGATTTTGTGTATAGCCCACATATACATTTATAGATAGAATGCCTAATTAAAGTGTTCTAAATTTTTATTTTGTAAAATACTTGGTATTTACATTGCAATAATTAATCGAGTATAATAAATAATTGAAAATAAAATTGATTTTAAGGTTTCAGTATTTTTCGAACAGAAACAGTGAGAAAGAAGAGTGCATATACTTGTATATTATAGATTTTTTCTTTGAATAAAAATACTTTCACTTTTTGTATTTTATTTAATTTATTCTTGATTTTAAACATCTTTAAGAGCTGAAGCCGCCCGTAAACAGCATTTAAGCTTTATTTTTTTTTTACTTAAATGTTGCAGTTTACACAGGAAAAATGTCTCAAAATGTCACATATCAGTTCGAAAAAATTGGAAACAATTTAAAATTAGAGCAACTAATGACATCAATATCTGTACCAGCCCTAATGTAAAATATTTAGGTGTCCATTTCCAAAATAATCTCAACTTTACATTGCACTTGAGACGGCAGATCGATAAAGCAAGAAAGGCTTTCGCAATTTCAAAAAATCTATTTTATTGCAAACGCCTTGACAGCAGAGTAAAAATTATTGCCTATCAGACACTTATTAGACCTGTCTTAACATAT